TCGAAAATCTAAGGAACAACCTAAGGCAAGCTATAAAACAATCGAGGAACACAGAGCCCCTTCTCAACGAAAAGGGTTCCTTCTTCAGCGCCCCGACTGTATGTCACCGCCGCCCTAATCAGATAAGAAATCCAACTGGGTCTGAGGTCGCGTGGGCACGTGCGGCCGCGGCCGCCGAAGACGACGACGACGACATGACGACGTCACGACGACGACGACAACGACGACGACACGACGACGACGACGAAGACGGACGACAGACGACAGACGACAGACGAGGACGACGATGACGCCGTCGCCGACGACGACACTGACGCTGACGACAACGACGGCGACGCCGCCTACGGTGACGCCGACGACGACGATGCCAACGACGACGACGCCGACGCCGCCGACACCGACGCCGCTGCCGCCACCGCCGGCGCTGCCGACGCCAAAGCCACCACCGACGACCACGACGAGACGACGACGATGATGACGCCGACGCCGACGCCGAGGCCGCCGACGCCACCGACGACCACGGACGACACCGACACCGACGCCGACGCCGACGCATCAGGCGCGGACGACGGATGACGACGACAAAGAAACAACGGCGACGACGATGACCGACGACGACGATGATGACGCCGACGCCGACGCCGATGCCGACGACGACGACGACGACGATAACGACGATGACCGACGACGACGCCGACGCCGACGCCGACGCTGACAACGACGCCGACGACGACACGACGATGACGATGACGACGACGACTGCAACGACGCCAACGCCGACGACGAGGCCGACGCCGACGCCACCGCCGCCGCCGCCGCTGCCGCATCCATCTCCGCCGCCGCCACCGCCGCATACGACGACGACGACGGACGACGACGACGATGACGACGCCAGCGCCGACGCTGACGCTGACGGTGACGCCGACGACGACGACGACGACGCCGACGACGACGCCGACGCTAACGCCGACGCTAACGCCGACGCCGCCGACGCCGCCGCCGACACCGGCGCCGACGCCGCCGACGACGCTGACGTTGATGTCGACGCTGGCGCTGGCAGTGACGCCGACGCCGACGGCGTCGACGCCAACGGCGACGCCGACGCCGACGCCGACGACGACGCCGACGTCTGCCGACGAGACGACCGACGAGACGACGACGACGACGACGACGACGACGACGACGACGACGACGACGACGACGACGACGACGACGACGACCTCGTCGCCGACACCGCCACCAGGGAGTCTGGTTTTCACATGGACCGGTGCAAGTACCCCCGAAGCATGGCGCAAGTTCTGCCTGATTTGGGCACGGAGCGTGCCGATGTCGCATGGAACTGGGCCCCGCCGCTAATCCCCGCGCCTGAATCCATGCCCGTACTTCATCGAGAGAGACGGCCCTCTTCTGGGATGACCGCGGGGTGTGCTAAGGGGATAAGGGGGGTACAGGCAGATGCCAAGATGAGAAGATCTGGCCCGACCAGGCTTATGAGTGGGTGACAATTTCCCCAAATGGCTTCGGGGGTTTAGCGAAGTTATGTAAGTACCCCCCGAAACCGCTGGGAGAATTTGAAGCTCACACACAAGTCAAGTTGGGCCAAACATAACCGCCCTGGCATCCGCCTACAATCCCCCTATCGCCTGAGCGAAAACCGCAGTGATCCCAGTTGGGAAGCTGGCCCCCCGCTCGCGCGCGCGGCGCGGGCTCCATCATGTCCGCGAACTGCTGCGTGGTGACCCCGTTCGGGCCGAATGTGGCGTTGTACACCTGTGTGGCCGGGCGGCGGCCCGGCACCGCGGCCATTCACGGCGGCCACGGCTGCAGCGGCGGCGGCGGTGGCCGCGGCGGCGGCCCCAGATCTCCGACGCTATGGCTTTTTCAACCGCGGGTTGTTCCTTCGTTTCGGCCCCAAGGGGCTGCCATCGGGCCCCAATGCTATCAACAACGGGTCCGGGGCAAAAAACATGATCGACCCACGAACCCGGAAAGGAATAGAAATGTAAGGCATTGCAACATTTCAAAGACACCTGATTGGGCGACGGGCACATGCAATGCTGAATGTATCGATGATGATGTACTGTGCCGAGGGCTGTGCTGTGCTACGCCGTGCTGAACTGCGATGTGCCATGCCGCGATTGTGCTCTATATAGCGTTGTGGATCGAGTCCTCCCTGGCATCCGAGTCCTCACCGAACTGATCTGGAGCGTAAGCTCGAGCTGCCTGAGCAGATGGTAGCTGCCCCAGAACTAATCGACAGAGGGAACATGCCAGGAGGACGCGCCGCGGAACGTCCCAAGGGACGCGCCAGGCGACGTGCCAGGGGACGTGCCATGGGGACGCACCGCGGGACGTGCCAAGGGGACGCGCTACGGAACGTGCCAATGGACGTGCCGAGGGACGTGCCAGGGGACGCGCCGCGCGACGTGCCAGGTGGACTCGCCACGGAACGCGCCAAGGAACGTGCCAAAGTGCATAGTTGAGTGTATCGATCTTGATGTACCGTGCCGACGGCTGTGCTGTGCTGGGCCGTGCTGAACTGCGATGTGCCATGCCGCGATTGTGCTCTATATAGCGTTGTGGATGGAGTCCTCCCTGGCATCCGAGTCCTCACCGAACTGATCTGGATCGTAAGCTCGAGCTGCCTGAGCCGATGGTAGCTGCCCAAGAACTAATCGACAGAGGGAACATGCCAAGAGGACGCGCCGCGGAACGTCCCAAGGGACGCGCCAGGCGACGTGCCAGGGGACGTGCCATGGGCACGCACCGCGGGACGTGCCAAGGGGACGCGCTACGGAACGTGCCAATGGACGTGCACCGCGCGACGTGCCAGGGGGACTCGCCACGGGACGCTCCGCGGAACGTGCCAGGCAGCACGCCAGGCTGCAATGCTAAGGGTATCGATATTGATGTACCGTGCCGAGGGCTGTGCCGTGCCTGGGCGACCTGAACACATGAAAACACGCGTTTCGCTCAAGACGTTGTCAACACATCCGCATGCTAGACATCGTCGCTGGGCAACCTGGACACGTGCAAACAGGCGTCTCGCTCGAGACATCCTCAACAAATGCTCATGCTAGACATCCGCCTGGGCGACCTGGGCACGTGAAAACAAGCCTCTGGTTCGAGACATCCTCAACAAATCCTCATGCTAGACATCTGTCTGGGCCACCTGGAGGCGTCTCGCTCGAGACATCCTCAAGACCTGGGCACGTGAAAACAAGCAATCCACTTGAGAGATCCTCAGAACTGAGGTCCCCAGGAGAGGACAACCTATAACACAAAACCAGCGTTTCGCTCGAGACATCCTCAACAAATTATGAACAACAAGCGTTTCGCTCGAGACATCCTCAAATTTTAATTCGCCGGCACTACGCGACCTCGTTATTTATCGCAAAAGAAATTCGCCGGCCCTACAGCCGTCAAAACCGGGGGGAAACCAACTAAAAGAGAACCCTGGGCTCAGGCCCTTTCCGGGAACTACCCCTGGGAAGGGGTTGGGACCTCTAGGGCCGCGCGTTGATAAAATCGTATCGGGGGATGTGTGGGGCTGCGGCTGCGGCGGCGACGGCGGCGACGACAGCGGCGGCGGCGGCGCCGACGACAGGGAAGGGGGGAGGAAGAAAAACATTGCCTGGACAAGGATGCCGATACGTAGGCACCTGGTGATGCTCATCATGATGATGATGATGATGATGATGATGATGATGATGCTGATGCGGATGTCCGCTATTATCAGTATTGTTATTGCTATTATCCCACCAGCCCTCTGGGCGAAGGTGCTCTAGAGCGCGTCCATTTCTAACCTCCTTCCTTTCCCTGCTCGGGCGGTTTACCTCCCCCCCCCTCCCTGGGTCTGGACGGGCTCCCTGCGAGAGGTTAGAGCGTCCAAGATGGCCCAAGATAGCTTCAAGAGGGCTTGAGCTAGCCCACGATGGCCTCCAAGATCGCCCAAGATACCTCAAGATAGCCTTCAACACGCATCCAAGAGGCCTCAAGACGGCCCCAAGACGGTTTCAAGTGCCTTCCGAGCCCTCCAAGGACCCCCCAAGAGGCCAACATGGGTTCAACACCTAGGGCAAATCAATGCTTTTTGCTCTTTCGCTTCCGATGGGCTCTTTAGGGGGCAAGATGGCTCCAAGATGGCCCAACATAGCCCCAAAAGAGTCCCAAGAGGGCCCCAAGACAGCTCCAAGAGCGCCGCCCCAAGAGCGGTCCAAGATGGCCCCTGAGACGTTCCTCTTGGGCCTCCGAGGGGGGGACCTAAATGTACGACCCCCCTCTGTTTGGACGAAGGGGTCCAGGACGGCCCCAAGAGGCCTCCCAGACCCCCCAAAAGAGCCCCAAGAGGGCCCCAAGAGCGGTCCAAGAGGGTCCCAAGGCGCCCCTTCTGGCTTCCGAGGGGGGGACCTAAATTTACGACCCCACTCTTTTTGAACGAAGGGGTCCAAGACGGCCCCAAGAGGCCTCCCAGACCCCCTAAAAGAGCCCCGAGAGGACCCCAAGACTCCCCCAAAGAGCCCCAAGAGAGCCTCAAGAGAGCCCCAAGAGACCCCTAAGAGAGCCCAAGAGGGGGTCCGCTGCGCCAGAGACGCTTACCATAGGGAACACCCTGGCGTATCTTTCACTGGTTTCCATCTCAAACTTCGCTGCGCGAAGCTATGCGTGATCCTTGTTTCTCGTGGCCCAGGGTGGATACAGCCACCTGCGCTAGAGACGTTTACCACGGGGAGCACCACGTCATATCTGGCATTGGCTTCCATCTTAAACTTCAATGCGGGATTTTGTGATCCTTGATTTTCCGAAGGCGGCCGCGCAACTGCATGCTTCCAGCCGTGCCTGACGTACCAACTCCCCTGCGGATCGTTTCTGTATGGGCTGGTGGGGATACGCGACGCGCCACTAATTAGTATTCATAGCAGCATGATGGTTATCATTCTTAGTAGTCGTATTATTGTTCGCATGTACGTATGTATATATGCATGCATGTATGTATGTATGTGTTGGTATAATTGTGCATGTTAACAAGTATTGCTGTCATCATGTTTCATTGTCGTTTACAACTATTACTACTACTACTACCACCACCACCACTACCACTACCACTACTACTACTACTACTACTACTACTACTACTACTACTACGACGACTACTACTACTACTCCTACTCCTACTCCTACTCCTACTCCTACTACTACTACTACTACTACTACTACTACTACTACTACTCCTACTACTCCTACTGCTACTGCTACTACTACTACTACTACTACTACTACTACGACTACTACTACTACTACTACTACTTCTACTACGACTACTACTACTACTACTGCTACTACTACTACTACTACTACTACTACTCATACTTCTACTTCTACTTCTCCTTCTCCTACTGCTATTACTCCGACTCCGACTGCTTTACTATGTCTGCAGCTTCTACTGGTACACCTGTTACCAATGACGACTAACACCACTGCCACCACCTCCGCCACTGCATGCACCACCGCCTCCGACCCTAACCGTGTTGTCATGGTGGGGAGATGGCCGTGGTAGTGGTTGAGGTAGTGGTGCCATCTCTTTTCTGGCTGGAACCAATCAACACATTATGAATAGCGGGCCTCTTTGAATTCCGATTACGTTCCTATCGGTTTCTTACTCCAATCAAATGAGGAGCCTCTGGGTCTGGGGTCTGCCCCATCCCCCTCGGACCCCTTGCTTAGCTCCGAGTCAACTCCAAGTTGAGTCACCAGATTTTGTTTTCTGCTTCATTTATATTGAACTCCTGCTGGACCTCCAAGAAATCAATTTGAAAAGCTATGATCGGAAGGTCCGCTCCATTCGTACTGATTTCCTTTGAATGAATAATGCAAGCCATTCAGGTTGTCAAGTCCTCAACGCCCGAAGGAAAAAGGAACACCCATATCAAGCAGAAACCAAAGAAACACTGTGTTCACAAGTGTCACTGGTTCCCGGCCTAAAAAGGACGCGGCTTGCTTTGAGAACAAATGGTTTCCTTCTTGGCGAGGGGGAACATCACTCTTGAAACCCATTGATTACTGTGCTTGAATCACTGAAGATCATGACTGTTTGTTGTTGACGCCAACCAAGGACACCACAATTTATGATCTTACACTCGAACCAGTCGTCTTGCGGCCGGCAACTACTGACACCTCTGAAGGCACGCACATTGATTATTGTTTTGTTAAAGCCTTTTTCTGGGGACTGGAAATTTTGTTTGGAAATTCAACGTATCAGATTTACAACGTCCAAGCGGCAAACGCGAAACAGCTACGTAGCACCCGCAATTGCGGATAAGAGTGAGGGGGCGGCGGGGACGTCGGCAGTCTGCGAGGATCTGAAGAAGCCCGCCCCAGGCGCATAATTTTTCAAGCTGTACAAGAAACCCAAGCAATGTGGGTGGATCGCGGGTTGGGTCGCAAGTGGGTCGCGGGTGGGTCGCGGGCCGGGTCGCGGGTGGGTCGCGGGTGGGTCGCGGGTGGGTCGCGGGCGGGTCGCGGGCGGGTCGCGGGTAGGTTTGCGGGTGAGTGGCGGGCGGGTCGCGGCGTGGGTCGCGGGGTGGGTCGCGGGGTGGGTCGCTGGCCGGGTCGCGGGGGAGACGACGCCAAACAAGAAACAATCAACAATGACAACGATAAGAACAACAACAGTAACGAGAATCCGCATCGCGGCATCTCACTTCAACCACGCACTCAGGGACAATGAATGACCGCTCGTCCCCCTCACTGTGATAATAACAATCTAAAGC